AACAGAACAGGAGCAAGGAACAGATTGGACAAGGAAACAGAGCAAACAGGTGAACAGAACGATATGGGGGAACAGAGCGGACAGAGGAACAGAGAGGAACAGCGGAACAGAGAGAGCTGGAGGAATAGAGTGGACAGGGAGAGAACGAAACAGGGGGACATAATGGAACAGTGTGTGTGTGCATCAGAGTGTTTGTCAGTGTTTGTCAGTGTGTGTGTGTGTGTGTGTGTGTGTGTGTGTGTGTGTGTTAGAGCTGCACGAGTCTGGCTAAAATGAGAATGGTGATTTTTCTGCTGAAAATAAAGATCAGGATTCTCTCCCGATGCTGCAGAGGTAGATTAAAGCTGAATATGAGGTTTAGTTTTTCTGAAACATGTGGTTGGAGGTGTCCATGTCGCTGAGCAACGTGTGTGAAACAATGAACAGACTCGTGTAGCCGCCTTCGCTTCTCTCCTGAACTTGAAAATATGATTGGCAGAATCACAGAAATGCTGGATTAAGATCGTCTAGGGCAGGGCTGTCAAACTCAATTCCTGGAGGGCCGCAGCCCTGCACAGTTTAGTTCCACCCCTGCTCCAACACACTTACCTGCAGGTTACAAACAAGCCTGAAGGACTCAGTTAGTTTGATCAGGTGTGTTTAATTAGGGTTGAACTAAACTGTGCAGAGCTGCGGCCTCCAGGAATGGACTTTGACATCCCTGGTCTAGGGGGTCGAATCGAGATCGCCATCTTTTTTCGCTTAATTGTGCAGCTCTAGTGTGTGTGTGTGTGTGTGTGTGTGTTTGTGCGTGTGTGTGTGTGTGTGTCAGCTGATGTGAGGAGCTCCTGCTTTAGCAGCACAATCCCTCAGAGACTCACTCCAGTACAGTAGAGCAGTGTGTGTGTGTGTGTGTGTGTGTGTGTGTGTGTGCGTGCGTGCGTGCGTGCGTGCGTGTGTAGGTCTTCAGCACACTACAGCTTGAGAGCGTCATCTCTCTGCTCTCGCGGCGTCACCCAAACACCCAGCATGTGAGATCTGCTGTTACTCTTCATCCTCATCATCCTCAGACTCAGGGAGCTGTTCCTCCACAGACAGCATGTGAACACAGCAGATCACCGTATTCAACACCCGTCACAGTCATTCAGGAGGATCTCTGATAACACACACACACACACACACACGCATGCACGCATACACACACACACACACCGCACTGCAGTCACACTAGAAGCACTGTACAACAGACGTCAGGACTGAAGACACACACGCAGACTCTCAGCGCACACACACACTGGAGATGAGGATAGACAACAGTGAATGCTGGAGACGAGGAGAACACAGAGCCAGAAATATGACTGAAATGAGCAGAAATAACAGGAGGCAGGATCCTGAGGGAAATAAATGACCAATAATGACATAAAATAAAGAGAAAAACTGTAGAAATAAATACAAGAAAAGCAAAAACACAATCAGTAATGTATTTATAACAATGATCTACAATAAACACCATCAAACACAGAAATAAAAGAAAATAAAGAAAAATAAGATGAAATAAATTAAAACATAAATGAAATGAAGGAAAACTAAACTAAAATAAAGGTGAGCTTGTGAGTAGTGCAGTGTGTGTGTGTGTGTGTGTGTGTGTGCGTGTGTGTGTGTGTGTGTGTGTCTGACCTGGATCATGTAGAGCTGGGCGATGCGGTACTCCTCCACACTCAGGGGCATCGGGATGCGGTACTCTTTAATCAGCATGATGACTGAACACACACTCCGCCGCTCAGCTCCAGTTCATCTCTCACACCTGCACACACACACACACACACACACCTGAATATACGACTGAAGCAGAATACACACACATTATCATCAACAGCACACATTAAAAAGCTTAAAGAGAGAGAGAGAGAATATTATATATATAGAGATATAAATATATTTACTACTACAGTTTATTGTGTGTATTGTTTTAATTATATATGTGTGTTACTTATTATGTCAACTCTATAAATGAGAGAGAGAGAGAGAGAGAGAGAGAGAGAGAGAGAGAGAGAGAGAGAGAGAGAGAGAGAGAGAGAGAGAGAGAGAGAGAGAGAGAGAGAGAGAGACAGAGAGAGAGAGATTTTATAGGAACAGGAGAGAAACATGAGTTCAATAGTGGATGTGGTTGATCTCGTTCTTCATTACACTCATTTCCTGTTATTGATCTGTAAAATTACACATTTAATCTGTTCCCAACAGCAGAAACAGCATCACTAAACACCATAAACACACTATAATGCAAGTCAATGCAGCAGAATCAGCACCAACATCCCCAGAGGAGAGAGGAGAGTCCGTCTGAACAGTGCTGATGAGTTATGAGCATTCAGAAGCAGATCAATCATCACGTGCTGAAACACAGAGAGAGACGAGGCCAAATCAAGACTCAGAACCAGCCCGAGTGATGGGAACGACCCAACACACACACTGAGGCAGGAGCTGCGAGCGCTTATGCTCTATAATGGGTGTCAAACTCAGTTCC